GGGGAGGTCAGGGGAGGTAATGCAGGTTAAAAACATCCCATGAAGAAGGTTTTGGTTTTCTTTTTTGCAAAAACATCCCAAGATGCCCTTATTGTCCCCTTCTCTGCACCACCCCAAGTTGGGGGGTGGTCCCATTGTTCCCTGTCCAAGTTTGGGGGCTCTGATGTGTGTCCGAGATTATACAATGCAGGGTAAATATGGGGGAGTTGCCTTTATCTGACCCTTCCTAAGGGGAGGGGGGTGGACAGAAGATGGAGATGGGGACAACAAACACCCCAAAATCTCCAGTAAAAGAAATGATGTGGGGTTTTAATTGCTGGGAGGGCAGCAGGATAAAGCTTTTCTTCCATCCCTCCCCCCCCAAACAAAAATATTCAAACCCAACCCCAAAACAAATCAAGTTTTCCCCATTAATTTAGCCCAGAGAATTCCTGACTTTGAATGAGGAGTTAGCACCTGTGGAGGGCAGTGTCCCTTGTCCCCAGCTGGCCTAGGGGACCATCACCCCCCCCACATCCCATGGAGCTGCATGTGGGGTGCAGCAGGGCAGGGTATGGCCAGGTTGGGATGAAGTGGAACCTGCCCCATCTCCTGAGGAGTCCTGGGGACAATCCTTGGCCTGGCAGAGAGTCGCTGCATGGTGGGGGAGTATCCAGAACCTCTGTGGGGGGGACACTAGGTGGGACAACTAGGGGTGACAGCCCCTGTGCCTCAGTTTCCTTTGGTGTGGGGAGCAGCTGGACCCACAGACCTCAGCATGAGAAAGATGTGGAGTTGCTGGAGAGGGTCCAGAGAAGGGCAACCAAGAGGATCAAAGACCTGGAGCAGCTCTGCTCTGGGGACAGGCTGGGAGAGTTGGGGTGTTCAGCCTGGAGAAGAGAAGGCTCCAGGGAGACCTTAGAGCAGCTTCCAGTGCCTGAAGGGGCTCCAGGAAAGCTGGGGAGGGACTTTTCATCAGAGAAGACAGTGATAGGACAAGGGGGGATGGTTTTCAACTGAGAGAGGGGAGATTCAGGTCAGATATGAGGAAGAAATTCTTCCCTCTCAGGGTGGTGAGGAACTGGGATGGGTTGCCCAGGGAGGCTGTTGATGCCCCATCCCTGGAGGATTTTAAGACCAGGTTGGATGAGGTTTTGTGCAACCTGGTCTGGTGGTGGGTTCCCTGCTCATGGCGGGGGGGTTGGAACTTGATGATCTTTAAGGTCCCTTCCAACCTAAATGATTGTATGATTCTGTGATCTTTTTGGAGTAGTTTTACTTTGGATCCACACAGATTCACTTGCTGAAATGTGCAACCTAATTCAGCCTGTTAGTTTCGTTCTCAGAGGTGGATGAACTAGTGCATAGAGCAGGAAGACTCAGCCTTGACCCTCTGTCCAACACCCGCCCTACAACATCACCTGTGGGTCCTTGCAAGGGAGAAGATTTCTCCTCCCTGCTGTGCCAGAGGAAGTTGGGTGCTGTACAAAGGCTGAACCTCACAGCTGAAGGATTCACAGAGCAACCTGGTGGGTTCAGGTGGTTCCACCTTTGTCTCCCTTGGAAGGGTGTTGGACTGTGCCAGGCACTGTTTGGGTCTCCTCTTGGAAGTTCATCCGTGGATTTTCTGGGCCAACACCAATCCCCTCACTGACATCAGCTCGTGTGGTTTGTGGTCTCTGTCATGTGCATAATTCCCTAGTTCTCAGGTGGTGATAAGAAACCTTGGAAATGCTTGGGCATGATGTGTGGGAACAGCAGTTTCTAACAGTGGCCTTCAGCTCCAGCAGTGACCCTGTTTCAGAAGTTTCTCTCACACTTCTGGGTTTGCACCCTGAAGTTGGCAGCCTGTACATTTCCAGATAAGATGGAATGAGGATGCTGACTCTAGGGACCTCATGGCTATGGAAGATGTAGTACACACATCTAGTATCTACCTCTAGCTCTCCCTGTGACCCTCCACCTGCCTTGCAGCACTGTGATTAATAGGCCCCAAGACTCACAGGTGGAAGGACCAGGCTGGTGGAGATGCTGGCAGAGTGTCAGATGAAACTTTTCAAACAACACAGAAATTCTTACTGGTGACAAAGTCCCTGCACAATGGGTTTGACCGTGGGTTACTGAGTGGGGTGGATTTTTACCCATTTGGTTTCCTCATAGTTATTTAGTAACCAGTAACCACTATTGAGCATGGAGCCAATATATGGGGATGTGGGTAGTCTCGAAGGTCAAGTGAGATGTCAAGCATGAAGCTGGTAGGCAGGGGACATAGGGGACAGAGAGGCTAACCACACATTTTTGGGGAGTTGGAACTAGAATCTGAGCTTGGGTGATAGCAGAACAAGGTGTCTACTCCAGCCTTCAGCCTCTGCATTGTCTGTTTCCCTGGTGGAGGGGAAAGAAATTCCTTTCTCATGTATTTCAGAGATTTCATGGTAAGAGGGGCCATGAACATTTGGTTTGACACTTTTTAGCAGAGCCTGGGGAAGATAACTCGGGGTTTTTTTTGCAGGGGAAGAAATCGTGGAAGTTCAAAAGGAAAAGTGGCCACAGAGACACGAGTGGAGAAAAGTGAAAGGGGAAAGCACTGTAAGGTCATTGTAAGGGACTGGGACAAGGCCAGAAACAGTCTGCTTAGCACCAGGAGAACCTGTCCTGTTGCTCCCAGGCATCCTGACTGAAGCAGGAAGCCTCTGCAAGAAGATCTCAGAATGAAAAAGCAGCTACAAGAGAGAGCTCTGGGGAGGTTGGCAGGGTGAACAGAGTCTTGGCTTGACCTCCTGGACATTTGAGGCTGGCAAAATTACAGCTGGGTGTTACAGGACACTTGCCAGGTCATCACATACTTGCGGTCTCTGCACAGTTGGCTTCATGCTCTGGATGTCCACACGATGGCAGTGTGCACCGTGACAGGTCAGGCCATAAATGTTATCAAAATGAAGTTACACTGAAGAATTCCAATCCTGTGCCACCACCATGGACACGTCAAGCTGTGGAAGTTGCTTTCAGGGTCTTGGGTGTCTCTTTGCTGTATTTAGACACCTAGACAGAAGAAGGGGAGAGGGTTTTCCTCTCTGCCTAAACTCATGCTTTGATATGCATTGCAGAAGAACTGATTTACTGAGCAGGTGAAATTTAGGAGGCAAAATGGTACTTTGCCCCACAGTGTGACCTTGCAGCAGCTGCTTCCCTGAGTGTGCCTGTGTTTATTTGGAGAGGAAGAAGAGTCCAGGTCCATCTGTCCCTGTGTGTTCCTGCAGTGCTTGGTGCTGACAGATGAAATGTCACCATAATGC